ATTGTGTTGCAGTATCTGCCTGCTTTTGTCCTGTTAGAAATGAAGCGCACCAAGGTGGGGTCCCTCCCAGGTCTGCCATTGGGAGTACTGCCCATCATGCCTCTTTCAAGACCTTTCACCATCACAATGACTTCTGGCAGCAAGTGTATGGTGACACAGATCCAACTCCCTATCATGCCTGCATTCGCTTTCACTGATTACCATGCACAAGTGCAGACAATCGAGTATTGCATTGTTGACATTGGTTTCCCCCCCACAGGCAAAATCACCCTGTTCAATGCCTACATTGCTCTCTCCCATAGCCATGGTCAGGAGAACATTCAACTGCTAAGAGACTTTGATGAATGACTATTTACACAACACCCCTGTGAGCACTTGTGCAATGAGGATTGGCAGCTGGAAAGGATGGATTGTGCAACTGAAGCTTGGTGGGATCTTATTGACACTGGCACAGATGTGTATTGAGGAGGTGCTGTGGCTGCACAGCTTGTGTAATCTGCCATCTGGATCTCTAATCTTCTGCATACAAAGATGTATGTTATATGGGGTTGTAGCACCATGGGCAGTGTCATGGGCTGCTAATCATCTACCCATGAAGATGCATGTTTTAGGGCATTGTGGGGTTGAATATTGAGCTTGAGCACAAACATGGTAAACAAGGTGCCTGCCATGCAAAATGGCCTTATTCTAGTGATTTGCTGATGTTTGAAATGTCCAGTGAGACTCAAAAGTCACAAAAGACATCCAAAATTGCACAAAATAGTGTGAATAGGATTTTGTTAATTTTCTGATGTCTCAAGTCTACCCACAATGACATTTCCTGCTGCAGTAGTTACAAGGTGATGTCACACACCAAAGGTGTTTGGTGAGGTGGACATGGATACAGCTGATGAATGGAGATGAAGACCATAGCCCTCATGCAAAGAAGGACAGCCAGGAATGTCGGCAGTCATCCCTCACACAAGAACAAGTCATCAGTGCCAGAGAAAAAGAAAGGGAGTGAGTTAAGCACTGGCTAAAATTCTTAGGCACCCATGTACAGCATTCTGGTTTTTGACATATCTCTGCCATTTCTGCAGATACCAAGACCATTCCCACACTTGCTTGTAGTGCTCAGCCACATGATCTTACCTTCCAAAATTGGAAAGGATTTGCACACTCCACACATTTCTACAGCACTCCCTCCAAAAGATGCTCATTTTGCTAAATTCTTCTGATATGGCTGCCTCTACATCAATCATTTTGCTTGTCCCCTTTGCTAGGGACCATGGCTACATATATCTACCAGGAGTTCCTACCAGCTTCCATCCTGAAGCATCCTGGTACATCCCACCCTTGTCTGTGCCCTCTCAGCCCATCCAGCTTGGACAGCATGTTCTTTTTGTCAGTATGACCTCTAGGAGGATGTTCTTTGGTTGCCCCAGGTCTGTCATTTGCTTGGAAAGGTCTTATGTGGTCATTTCAGTCTCTCTGGTCCAAGAAGCATATGGATCCTTCCTCCCTGCTCCCTGCAATGTCTTCATACCAGTCTCATCCATCATTCTTCCAAGATTGCAACAGCTACAGTATAATCTACTGTTCTCCACTCTCCCTGATCACATCCATGATGAGTATGATGCACATCTTGCCTCCTTGTTGCAAGATACAGCAGAAGACACTCCCCCTTCATCCTCTCTTCCAACAGAGCCTCATTCATGAAGTTTTTATTTGCTTCCCTGAGAGGATGGTTTGGGGGGGAAAGTTGTGATCCCCTATGCTCCTGTCACCCCACAGACCCCCAAAGCTTGACCCCTGTTGACATCTGACTCACCCTGTCCACTTTTGGATGTACTATATCAGCATCAGATCAGCACTGCCTCTCTGTCATCCCACCTTGGCCTAGAAGCAATCTCTTCGAGATGTGACATGCACAGCCTCCCCCTAATGTGATTCCAGTGCACTTTCCCAGTTCCTGACATTACTTGACTCATACTTTGATGTTCTGACTGTCTTTGACTCACCTGTTGCCAATACTTACCAATCTTTTGACTTTGCTTACTGATTCTTCGCTTTTTGGCTTGCTAATCCTTACCAATGCTTACCAATGCTTTCCAAGATGATTACCCATTGCTTACATTCCTTACTCATCAGTTACCAATCACTTACCAAGTGTTTGCACCTTGTTTTCCAAGGGCAACACCCCTGTACTGTATATAAATCACTGTACTTAGATAGCAAAAAAGAAGACATCAGAGAGCCCCTCTTGCTCGCATTTTATCATCACTCAGTAATTCATTCAGCAGCTTCAATAGTTGAGACTTTATTAAGGGTCTAACTATTGTCTACTTTGCTTATCCTTGTCTATCATCAATATACTTTGCTCCAAGCCCTCCCTGAGCTCAGTGCAGCTTAGGACATTGAATTAAGTCATCATCCATCCTTCTGTAGGCTGACAGCAGTCTACCCTATTGCATTCTCTCACATTCCTGCTTCTTCTTCATCAGGAGCACCCCCAACCCTCAGCACTCATCTTTGAGTGTTGTAGCTTGCAAAAACCCTCCCAAAGAACAGGTTCTACCATCTAGGTACCACATAGGCACACCACCACTCACTCTTTTTGTCTTTTGTGTTGGTTTTGGTTGGTTTTCACCACTGAACCACACTTTGAATCACAGTGAGATGAGAAAGTTTGCCACAAATGGCCCTTATCACCCCTTTCAGATGCTCAAGGACAGATATGCTGGTCCTGGTCCAATGGTCAAGCACATCATCTGCCATGAGTCCTAGCTGCCACTTACTGACAGGAAATAACAAGAGAGCCCAGGATCCAAAGTTGGGACTTGCAAATCAGATGCTGATTTAATTCAGTGGTTTCCATCTCTGGCTTCTTCATCTTGGACAGATGAAACCTTGAGAGATCCCGACACTCTGACACAGTCATTCTTGGGTCTGATCAATATGATACAACTAGATGCGAGGATGGGAGAATGGGAAGTAAGTTTTCTGGGAATGCTGGGAGACACTGGGACTGTTCCAAGCATCACATATGACTTTGCTTTCCATGCAGTTCCCCACAAAATGCATCAATATACATAGATAGTAGCAACTCACTGCAAATGGGGAACCTCAGTGTACCTCAGCAGTTGGTAACTCAGTTGGTTGTATCCCAGTGGATAACATAGCTGCCCTCATGCCTTATAGTATGCCACACTTGGTTGCACCTTATGGTCAATATTCCATGAACTGTTGTTGGAGTGAAACAACCCCTGTCCTTACTTGGACTTAGGCACGTGATCATGTCACTTACATAAGCTGTTAGAGCACACCCATACACTAGTAAAATTTACCTAGTCCCTCAGTAGCTTGACAGACTACTGAGGTTCCCTACAGATTCCTCTCTGGGTTTCTGGAACTCACCATGGAGGGGTGAGCACACTCAAACAGATCACAACAATGACAGAACATCAACAGGTGTGTGGATTTGAGTAATCAAGCATATATGCTGATACAAGATGATGGACGGAGAGAGAGAAAGGGAAGAAAGAGATATGATCCATCCACAACACAGACACCACCAGTATATATACCCCCAGTGTCCAAACAATGCAACACAGCAAGAGGGATCTGCATGCCCAGACAGGAGCACAATAGGAGATGTGATAGTGTGACATGCTAGCAGCAGCATCAACAGCATGAGTGGCATCATCAGTAAATCACTTTTGCTGGCCAGAGCTGTCCAGAGCTGTCCAGCACTGGACAGATTCCCTAGGACTACCAGCTCACAAAGTGGTCTACTGATGATGTTAGTGGTGAGCAGTATGCTTACAGTTTCCCCTCTGCAACCCCACAAACTTCTTCAGCTGTATGGTTTATCACATGCTTGGCTGCAGCTTGATGCACCTGGGGCTCTACTTCTGTGCCTGCCTCTGCTTCTGGATACATAGCTTGCCCCTCAACACACCTGCTTGTCCCTTGGTTCTGTCTGGTGTGACCTGTTTGGCTTTGGGTGCACATGGTTGGCTTTCAGTGAACCTGGTTGCATTTTATGGGTCCTCATGCTTAACTTGAAGTTTTTTGATAGCCTGATAGAGCGGTCGGCCTGGTTGTTGTCTGCGGGATGCCATACGAAGCCATACGACACAAGCCTACAAGCACCCTAATACCCCCAGTTCCTTCAAATCAGTAGCCGCCGAAGAGAAGGATTCGATTCATGGGTGTATTCACACTATCCCTGCGCATAGTAAGTGAGCCAAACAGTAAAATGGAATCGGCCCTTTGCTGAATAATCTAACCTTCGATTCGAGCCTCCCCTTCGTATGTAACTCGATGGTCTGCCCGTCTTAAGCCATACCTTCTTCGCTAATGATGACCCATCTGGTCGTACAAGGTTTGTTGTGCAAAGGATACGAGAGACAGGGGCCATCCTTATATGTATCGAAACCCTGCGAGCTCTGCGGAAAGTCAGCTCCTGAAAGGTCAGGAAATCGGGGGATGTAAACTGACCGTATGATCCCAAGACTTCACACACGAATCGCGAAGTCTCATCCAAATATCCTCCTTTCCCACATAGAAGTCCTCTCTGCGTGCTTCCAACCCTGCCGCCGGGAAAGTTCATGGGACTTTTGCAGGTGCAATGACACTCGGCGAGCGAGCGAGGTCTCGTTGTTGATCGTCTATATTGTCCATGAAGTCTGGTAAAACCAACTTATTCTACTGTTCAAAGCCATCTTTCGGTCCTCCAGCTTGCATGTGCCCATTTACCAAGCGTTTTCAGTCCATCCTGCCGTCAACCAAGCTTTTCCACTCACTCCGTCCTATCCTCAACCAACCTCTTCTGCTCCGTCTTATCGTCAGCCTACTGTCAGCCCCAGACCAAACTCGACTCCAGCAAGAAGGCCCAAAAGCCACCAATTGTGAAGCCGTTGCACGGGGGTGAAATATTGCTTCATATTTCTTTTTAGGAATCATACACCTGTTCATGGCACTTGTGACCTGCGACATCCAAGGTCAAGGTTTCACGAAAGGTTGATTTGGGCGCTCACCGAAGCGTGGTCTGGCTACATAGTGCCAGGCTGCACTCATCCACTTGAAAGGTTGAACTGGGGGGCGGTGAATTGCTCTTCCAGAATTTCACGGTATACACATTGGCGAATTTTAAGGTATTCCGGGGCGCAGAGCGCATGCAACTTGTGCTCACGATTATAATGGGACATTCGCTTCCGTCACACATTCGGTGAGGCACGTGCAGCTGCGTGTTTCACTTGTGAAGATTCCGACGGTCCAAATAGTTCGACAACGAGGTGGCAATGTGGTAAGTGAAGATATAAAGCATGTCTCCGCACATAGCAGGAAACCCTCGCCCTACTGCAAGGTGTTTTGCTAGTAGGACACACTGTTTCCTTTTCCGCCACCACTGGATTTACAATTCTTACAATCACGAACGACGTGCATAAATGTCTTCTCCAGGAAATGAAGCTCGAATTGCGTGCGTACATGTGACATCCATATAACATGTCTGTAACCGACACGCCTCACCTCGTCCATACAGCGTCATGGGCCTCACGGGAAGTGGAAAATCCACTGTGAGCATACCATACCCTACCAGCTTCCCCACTTATGGAACGCTCATCTCCATCTCATCGTGGTCGACGTGATAGTTCATCAACTGTGCGAGCAAGTCGGATCTTGTGGTAGGGATGGGACTCGAGAGCTGCACGATTGACGTGCAATCGTCAAAGCCGTTTTACCTGGATGAGTGTATGGTAACGTTGATCGACACGCCGGGCTTTGACGACACCAATCGCAAGGAGAGGGAGATCATAGCACACATATCTGCGTACCTTGCCAACACGTGAGTCGCATTGCGTACATACGCGGGAGGGGATTGAACTACAATCGGTATGACGCACGTCCTAACTCGCAGGTACGAACAGGGCGTTAAGCTCACTGGCGTCATCTATATGCATCGCATTTCCAACCCCCGCATGACAGGTACATCGATGCGCAACTTCAGGTGCTTCCGCGAACTCTGCGGGAAGGATGCATTCAAGAACATCGTCATTGTCACCAATATGTGGAGAGACGACGAGCCAGAAATCTGCAATAAAAGAGAGAGCGAGCTAGCAACTGATAACAAGTTCTACAAAGCTGTCCTTGAAGGGGGCAGGTAAAATGGTTCGTCATGACGGCACGACAGCCTCAGCGAAAGCCATCGTTCGCCAGTTAATCAATAAGGGCAACGTAACTCTCGCAGGCCAGCAGGAAATCATCGACGAACATAAGGAGTTCTCGGGGACAGCCGTGGGTAAAGAGCTCACGCGAGCTCTGAAGGAGCAAGCAGAGCAATATGGTACTGAGCTTCGAGAAATTTACGCAAGTTTGGAGGCTTTGACCCGTGACAATGACGAGGAAAGGCGACGGGTAGCTCAAGATGATCTGGAGAGCAAACGTGAGGAAATTGAAAACATTAAAAGTCGTATCGAAAACATGGAACAAACCTTCAAGACCGAGAAGGCCCGACTTCTGGCCATCATTGCAGGTATGGAAGCAGAAAAGTTGGTGCATTTGGAACGCATACGAGAATTAGAGGAGCAACAGAAGGCACATACCGAACAAGAGGAACGAGAAGGACTTCTGTTCCGGAGAAACCTTTTCAGCGCCATACAGAACAACAGGCGGTTGGCAGACGCTGCTGTTTATTATGCAGCGGGACGCTATTGCACGGGAGAAAGTATTTCTGTTTTGGGATCACCTCCAGCGTGAGCGAACAAGTAGACGAGGGCAGACACTTTTCCAGATTCGAAAATGGGCGGCGGTGATGGCCATCCGGGCAAACGAAGCACTGGCATGCAACATGTTGGCCGCACAAAAAACGCAAATAGCAGAAAGGATTCGCCGAATGACGGAGGAGATTGAACAGCTGGTGAAACCAAAAGAAAAAATTGAGGAGGAAGAATTTCGTCGGAAGGAAACACTCAAGAGAGGTTGGGAACCAGGCTCGCAAGTCGGAAACTGCTCGAGGGCAGCCTACGTATACTGCACGGGCATTTGGATCCTCAATACCCCTACGGCTAATAATGACTGCTGTCCTTATTATCTGGTTGTAGTCAGCTTTGGTCGTCTTTGCAGCACGGCGTTGAGACAGTGGAAAATGGTCTGCGCTTCGTAGCGGTCTATCGAGTCGTAGTGAATCTCCACAAGACTTCAATCTGTCCACTTACATAAGAGGACCGCAAAGGTGAGGGAGAGGGCAGCTGCAGACTCTGGTGCGCTCATTCCCAAGATCTCAGGACACCGCGACACATGTACTCGATCGCGATGTTTTGATTCTGTCAGAAAGTCATAAGTATTGATAGTCGAAGTCACATATCGGTGCCGACAAAAAAAATAGTAAGCATGTACTAGTAGTAACATCATCGATAGCATAAGTCAGGCTCCGCGAGTAATGGGAGCCTTGGGTGTTTGTGACACCCCGAGAAATGTCTTGTAGATCATACTGACTGGCAAAATAACATCGACGTGTCTGAACCGGACCGAAAATTCATCCATATGTCGAGGGTGTACGTCGAGTGCGGGCCCATAGGAGAGTGGGCGTTTACTGCTAACTAGTGAGCCTGCGATCTTGGACGCAGTCAACAGGGCCTTCGTAGCGATCACGTGAACATTATGTAATCTAAGACACGTTCATGCTTAGATTACCTCCCCCTGTCTTGTGTCTCTCTCTCCTTCGACCTTCATCATCTCTCATCCAAGCATTCATCGTTCTCATGCATATACTCTTCAGTTCTTTGCTCTTCACCATGTCTGGCCCCCCTACTGGTGTTACCTTTACCCCCACAGTTCCTGTTGGTCTTGGCATACAGTCTGCCCCCAGACCCTTCAGTCACATGTAATCCAGAAAGTGGGTCATCTGACATGCACATTTGGTCCTGAAAGTGGGACTAACCGACATTGGCCTATAGACCCTGATGGTGGATAGGCCAACATGTTGGAGGGAGGTCGGCCGACCTCACTGGGGGATGGACTCACACCCTGGAAGTGGTGTCGGCCGACCTCACTGGGCAATGGACCCACACCCTGGAAGTGGTGTTGGCCAACCTCACTGGGGGATGGACCCACACCCTGGAAGTGGTGTCAGCCGATTTCACTGGGGGATGGACACAGACCTCACCACCTGGAAGTAGGGTTGGCCAAACCCTGAAAATTCCCTTGGCATAATCAATTGCTTGTCAATTTAGATGTTACCAGAAGTATTGACTCTGATGACACTTCCAGATGGACATACCCCCTGAGACCAGTGTTGGCCAACCTCACTGGGGGGTGGCCTTACCCCCTGAATCCATGGCCATTCTTCACCTCCAGGTGATGTCAGTGATCTCACAGGGTTTGAAACTTGCAATGAGCATGGGTAGCCATATATAGGGATCCTTTTGATTCACACCATCTACAGTTTATTTATAGACCAAGACCCAGAGCTCTCTTGGTTGGTTGACAAGCTCTAGTTGATTTCTTGCTTGCCTCTTCACCCTCCTTTGCCATCTTCTGATCAACATCCCCACTGCCTCCCCTTTTTCTTTTCCTCACATCCTTTCTTGTATTCTGGGATTCCTTCATGCCACCCCCCTGGGTGGGACAGGAATCCCCTGCACTGACCCCAGTTGTTTCCTGTGCACCAATCCCTCTGCTTGAGCCACCAGAATTCTGCTGCAGTCTTGCAACTACCAGCCCCACTGCACCCATAACATCTTCCCCCTTGTGGATATCAAGACCTGAGCCTAGCAAAAAGCCCAGATTAGCAGCTTCAGGGTCATCTGATTCTATGTCCTGTGCTCTTTTGCACTCCCTCCACAACAAACCAAATCCCAGTACAATGGTAAGACCTTTCTGGGTGGATGCAAACTTTTCACTTTGCAATTGATACAGTGCCTTCCAGAAGGAATCCTCATTGCCATGCATCTCCTGGGGCAAATACTGGGCACTCCAGGCCCAAGATGCCCAGACAGGCAGGTTGACTGGTCCAGCATCAGGTTCCTGTACAAAATGTTTGTTAACCTGGTATTTGAAGAAAGTTTATCACTTACTGTCTCTGGCAAGCCATCTACAAGCTCAACAAGTTCCTGGTACCTGGGCATGATGCAAAGGGACTTTAAATATTTCACCCTGTCCCCATTGGCATGACAAGCAGGGCTGGATTCATGAGGGGTATCTTCAGATGGGGCCCTCCCAGAGTCAAGGATATCCTGGGCCCCTGATGAAGTTGCTATAGGGGTCATACCAGCCCCACCAATTTCTTCCCCTAAATCTGAGGGCTTGGCCTCCACCCCAGCTTCACTGTCCTCCCCAGGGCTCATCCACTCTCTCTTTTTGGATGGGGTTTTCCTGTTCCAGGGCCTTCCCAATGGCTCATCCTCCTTTTTGCACTTGATGAATGAAACAATCACCTTATCCTCCTCCTCTTGGGAATTCCAATGATTCCAAAGCATCCACATGTCAGCCTTGGTCCATTTTGAAGGATCTTTCATCACAAATCCTTCTGGGATGGAATCGGAACTCAGATACTCCAAATGGGACTTGATAAGCAGGCCCCAGGGAACCTTGGCCTTGGGCTTCCCTGTAAACTTTGCTATGTTTCCAACTTCCATCAACAACTGTAGATGCACTTGACAATCAAGAACATACCATAGGCAGCCTGGAAGACCATTCTTGCCAAACTCTGCTGGACCTTGAGTTTCTGACCAGTCCAAGCTGGTACCTCTGGGTTTCCTTCATCATCCAAGGCTATCTCCACCTTTGGATTCTCATCATTCAAATCTTCCTCAGCTGAGTATGGAATCAACCTAGGTACACATATTACATTGATCACCAATGTTTATCACTTACCAGCTTCAGTCAAAAGATAATTGGTTAACATTTGCTCTCCCTTTAGAACCCAATCCTTGGTGGGCTCTGAAGACTCTGAGAAGGCCTTCTTCCCATCAGGGGGTTGTGTTTCAAAGCTAGGTTTCTTCATTAGCATTGGATAGACAAGGTAAAGGGGAACCTACACTGCCATCTTGATCTGAGAATCAGTAGTCTCATGAGCCAGAAACATCACTATATTTGACCCCATGGTCCTCCTGACTGTTTCAATAAAGTCTCTGGCCATGTTGGGAAAATTTTTTCTCCTGTACCTGAATTATTGCATGATTAGTATAAGACATTTGAAGTAGACCAGCACTGACAATTCATGAGTTTCTTTTGGAGCTCCCAACTTATTCCACTTGGAAGCAGCCCTCCCTGCTTCAGCCTTCTTGTCATCTGCAAGAGACTCCCACCACTGTTGGATGATTTTGGTCCTCTGACCTATGGTCTTGGGGTCCTTGGTGTCCCTCCTCTCCCTATCATAGGCATCCATGTCCTCTTTGAAGAGCTGCTGGGAGGCAGTAAAATCAGTGAAGGGTTTTCTGTAATTTCCAGCCTTGGTAGGTCTGGTCCTCTCCTCTCTGCCATCCTCATCCTCACCAGTCCCAGGCTGCTCCTTCCTCTTGTCTGTTGCAGCCAGGATGCTCTCAATGATGTGTTCCTCATCATCCTGGTCTTCAGGGTCTAGTTCTGGCAAAAACACCCTTCTGATGGCCTAAATACACTTGAGATATGTGAAACTTGATGAAAAAGATACCCTACCACTCTCAAGTTCTGGGGCAATTCCACAGATCCTGAAGATGCTTGCTGAAGGATCTGGGATTTCACATCAGCCAGGATCTGGGCCCTGAGGTCAGGATTCCCTCGGGCATCTGTGTACTGCTCCACATAGGAGGACAGCAGATCAGAGTAGACTTCAGACCAATCAGCCATGAGAGAATAAAATCAGGGGGATAATTAGCAGCACAGATGATGGAGGTTGGAAGCAAGGTGAAAATTTTTCAGCCTTTCCCAATTTAGGCAGGAGGTTGAAGTTTTTGGCCATCACTCTCTTAGGAAAGGTACCATTATGGTATGATTGTTTTGATGTATTTGCTATTCACTTTGATTCAGATACCAAGTGCAAAGCAAGGGTAATCGGAAAACTATACACATATACCCATGTTCTAAATACAATCCATTTGTTTACCTTGGAACATCAATTGGGCCTTTTTGGAAAAGTCAGTCCACAACACTATCTGCTTATGAGCATAAGCCTTTTTCCCTGGTTCCAACAATTGTAGAGCCCTTTTCTCCCATATGTCCTTCTGGAACTCAAACCATAAGATGGCCCAAACCATCTCATGCCTCACCAATGACAATTCTTCTTTCCACCTGTCCCTTCTTGCCCTTGCTTTGAGCCAGTTGATCCTGTAAACTGCCCCACAATTTATTGGTGAGATTTTTTTGAGTAGTATTAACACTTACACTCCTCCATTAAACCCCCCTTCTCAGCATTCAGTTGACCCTGTTCACCATCCATCATCCAAAACCATGCCATTTTGCTGGTTCCCTGCCCAAACCAGTTCTCCTCTGTAACATCCTTACTCACTGCCAGGTCCTGGGGCTGAATAGCCTGATATTTTTGTCCAATCTCTTGATTGGGTTCCAACTGGAGAATGGCCTGCCTTGCCCTCTGATAACTTCTGACCTGCTTGTTTATCTGAGCCACCACTTTTTGGATGTCCTGCTTGGTTCTTGTACCTTCCCTAGTTGATTGTGCACTGCGGAAGTTCTGTCTGTATAACATTGCCTTGTGTCCAAGGTTGGTTCGGAGCTGGTCTAGACAATCATTAGCTTGCCCAATCCTGAGTTCCATTTCTTCTTTGAGGAGGTCATGAAGGCCAAGCTCCATCAGTTTGGTTGCTCCAATGGATGAGGGCATCCATATACTCATGAGCTCAGCAGGTAGCTCCTCTCCTTCTTCTGTAGCCTCCCAATCCTCATCATCTTCCCAGTACTCTCCATTGTCATCAATTTCTTCACCTTGCCCAAGGAATGCTGGATCATCCTGGGGTATGAAGACATCGTCCACCTCCAAACCTTTGAGAAATGCCTGGCTGGTGCCATGGAATTTGTCAATCCTGGCAGAAAGTCTTTTTCTTTTCTCTGAGACTTTGATTTCTTGTCTGGTAGACATGTGGCTCTGTCTAAGCTCAGATCTTAGCTGGTCCCTGCAGGTCTGGTTAGCAACCTATTGCTTCTGGAAACCACAGACCATACTGTGCATCCTCTATGCTAATTCCTTCCACAAGCCAAGCCACAGAACCATGGCTCCCTGGGGACACAGGTGGATTTTTCATGAGCTTTAACTGCACTTCACCCATGGTAGGGGCTACAGGCCATCAGACATGCCCAGGGTTTCTTAGGAACATACTGACCTTTTTCCCCTTTCAACAAATAAATGTCTAGGGAATCACCTTGATTTGCTTCTGCCTCAAGAACATCTGACTCCCATTGGGCAAGTTGGCCAGGGTCTAGAACAGCTGTCAACTGCTCATATGCCTGATTCATTTCTTCTAGGCACTTGTGTGAGGTCTTGTATTTTTTCAACAGTGCAGGAACTGAGATGTACAGGGTAAATTAACTTCTCTTTGAAGAAAAGGTCTCTCACCCATGTTGACAATTTTTTTCCAGTTAGAATCTCTCATATGGTCATCATACACTTCTTGTCTGTGGGCCTGAGTCATAGACCTTGCAGTGGGAGAGATCTTATTGAATGGAGCCCACAATGTCTCCAAAATTTCACCATCCAGATGACCAGCACCCTTGATAAAGTTGAGGCTATATCTTGGAAAGCAAGAGAGTTTGTGGGCAGCAAGATGAAACTTCCCCACAGCAGGAATGATTTCCAGGGAGGGAGGGAGATGGAGAGAGCAGCTGGATTTTACCCGACTCTGGAAGTTAATACTCCACTGGCACCCAACATCATAAATGACAAGGGCCTTTGTGATGCTTTCTGAATGATAATCAAGAGCACTGCAGATGGAGTAATCTGTGTTCATGTACCTAGCACAAAATGAGTTCCAAAGGCTTCCAGTACATCCATCAGGTCCACTCACTTTTCCCCTTTCTGAAAGTCCACCACAGAATGGGGAACAAAGCAACCATGCCGAGCACAGGCTGTGGCACCAATCCCAGTGGACCAGGAGATTGGACTTGTTAATATTAGCAGCATTGATTGCCCTGTGATTGCTGCAGGTGGATCTCTACCAGTACAGTGGGTCATTTAAACTCCATGACCTTGGGACAACTCACCTCCTTGTTATCCAAAGACTGCTCAAGATGGGCCTGGTAGGGCTTTTCAGCAACCATGTAACCAGTTCCATCTGCTAATGACACATCCAACTCAGGCTTGTTCATTTTCATATGCTGAGCAGTGAAGTTGCCATCCATGACATATTGCCTCATTATGGTATCACTAAGGGGGGAGGGGAGTTAGAAATCAAAACCCTACAGATTATCACTCCATACCTGTCATATTGGGTTTTCCAATCTGGAGGTAAATTAATACCTGGTTGTGGGCAGGCAGGACAAAAGAGTGCAAGTTCTCCTTGTCTAGGATCTTGTTCTTTATCATGACCAAAGCCAAACCATTTCCTATGTTTCAAATCCCTCCACAGTCTGGAAACCCTCATCAGCTCTCGGTACCTGTCCTAATTGGAAATGAATGCATTAATAGAACCCCCTAAGAGCAAATAGTGCATGGCACTCAACTGGTATACAGTCAGGAAATGCATTGTTGGTGAACCTCTTCAGCTTCTGATAGAAACTCATAGCTGAAGTCTTGCATTCCAGGGCATCAATGAGAAAGTGATTAAGAACATCAAAGGTGAAAGCAGTCTTGGGCTTTGTTATACTGGCTGGAAAGAGTCTTTCCCTGAGTAAATCAAGGTGCCAGTCGATTGGATCTGACCCAGGGCAATTGCACCAAGAAATCTCATGAGTGAAAATTCCTTCTGTGTGCACTATGGTCATTTTTGATCTGAAGGATCTCCTGCTACCAGAGGTTAACATGGAGGCTACAGGATATGACTGCCATTGACCTGTAATTGGGAGGCCCTTCCCCAGAAGTATAGCCCAACTCCTCTGAGTCTGGATCCTGATTCTGTCTGTTTTGAGGGCAAGGATGACCCCCATGGCCAATGTGCCAAAGGAACCCAAGTGCCATCAAAGAGGTATCCTGGTAATGAGTAGCATTCCATCTTTGTACCTTGTGGAATGGAAGATTTTGATGCACTTTCACAGCACAAGGACCACACCAGGCATGCACACCAATGCAGGACATGCATCTGATACTTCCTTCTGCCTGACAGCACTGCTCACATATCCCCCCCTTAGCCAGCTGCTCTCCCTCAAGAATGACTTTGAGATATTCTGCTCTCCAAGGCAGCCATTCTCTGATGAAATCATTTTGACTCTAGGGGATAATTTAGCCAATGCAGTATCAGGCAAAACTTCCCACCTTGGTAACCCTCCTAGTATTTGGGGTATCTTCCTCATCATTCCAGTCCAAGGTAGGCATGTCAAAGGAGTCTGGGACAACATTTTGGGAGCCTATTGTCCTGGGGGTCCTTGGAGTTGAAGGTTGACTCTGAGATGGGAGGTAGAGGTGTCTAGCATCCACCTCCTTGTAGGTGTCCTTTCCTCTCTGGGTTTTAGTGACTTCAAATTTATACAAACCTCCTGCAGAGCTTTTGCCAAGGACTTTGGTTCTACGATGATGCATGATTGAGCACAGGAAGAGTCAAAAGCAAGGTTTTCAGCTGTATTGAAAATTTTTCATCCCCAAAACAACACCACACAAGTCCAGAACAAGGTTATCAAATGTATTTAAAATATTTGTACCCAAAAATTGCCACTAAAATGTGTTTTAAGTGTATCTGACAGCCAACCCAAGAATGTCCTTTTGGGTAGTCCATGCTGGTCTTGTGACCTTGAGTCGGTCATGTACTTTGTCCTTCATATAATGCACCAATGCAATTCTTTCTCCCTTCTCCCACTTTGGCACAGAATGTTGAAGGATTTTTCCTGATAGGAAAATCATGGTGCCTGGGGAATAAGCCAGTTCGGCCCCCAGATCTGGAATAAGGAATTTAGCATTGTGAGAACCCAGGCTCACTAATGAATCCAGAAGGGTTGGGGTGGATGTGACATCTCGGTGAGAGGGAGTTTCCTGATTGACAATAATATCAATGTTGGTATAGACCGATGGCCAATCCAGGGATATCTCATTCTCCACCCTGCCAGCCTTGGCCAACATTGCTTGATCACCAGCCCTGGCCATATCTGGCAATGAGACCTTTGCTATATTGCTCCAGAAGTGTTCCACATAAGAAATCTTGAGCAGCCATTCCCTATTGGCTTTCTGTTTGAGGGATGTGCTTTGATAGAGTGTATCAACCAACCTCTTTAAATTTGTCAGCCCCTACCATGGAAATCACAGCACCTGGACAAACCTCATGAGCCTGTTGGAATGTGGCAGGAGACATGGAAATCCTGCCATGTCCATACATGACTTGGTCAACAGGCTGATGCTTATGGCCATATTGTTTGTTAAGCTTGCTTTTGTCTTTTGGCTTGTTCTTGGGCTCAGTCTGAAGATTGTCTTTTATGGAAAGGAGAAGGGAATTGAGAAGTTCCTATGATATAAAAGCTGTAGTGAAGGGTTGTCAGAGAATGAAAACACTCACTATCCGTGCATCTGGGACAATACCAGGCAGATACCATACTATCACCCTGCCATGCACATCCAGAACTGTGGCAGGAGCATTGATATACCCAATTTTTGGGTTTTCAAAATGGATGGTCCTGTCCTTGGCATGCACCAATGGTTCAGAAAACCTGTCTGCATCCCAATGCAACACATCTATTAAGGGTCAGACTTGGATCACTTGCAATTGTTGTGGAAATCACCTACAGGGATTGAGGATGGCATGTGTAATGACTGCTGGATGCCAGCCTAACTTCCAAAGATGTAATAGCATCTGAAGTTAGACCAGATTCCCCTTGCAATGTTGCCCTGACTTGGGTTAACTCAGCCAAGGATCAAAGTCTATTATCCAACTAAATACATAGCAAGTGTAGCATCACTGCTTATGGCTTACCTTGGCTTCCTGAGCTGGTGATTTGAGAAAATAGAGCTGGAAGAGATCATAGGGACTGTTCCAAAGGCAGCCTTCAGCATTCCAACCACCATTGTATGCAGGGAATCATCCATGATGATGTGGGGGGTGTTGGAAAAGTCAAAGGAAAATTTTTCAACCGTGAGAAAAATAGTTAAAAATCACTCAGTACATAAGTTGGAAGTTATTCTCCACAAGGGACCTTGCTTGACTTGGGGGAAGATCCAGAATCCAGAAACCCAACTTAGTCTACTAGATACACCATGTTTCTTGAAACATCTAGTCATGTAAGCAGGGGCCTGGAATGGTGGAATCAAACTCAGCAGCAGTTGAACTCCAAGTCAATCCAGTCCAGCAATCTCTTGAGCATCATGGGAAACCATGGAACACCAATACTAATCTAGCAATCTAGCAACATCCAACAGCTAGGAACACATCCAGTCAGCATTTGAAGGGAAGATGTTGGGTTGCTAGTAATGCCATTGGCAAGCTCTTGAGCATCAAAGGGAAACCTTGCTTAAGAAGATCAGCCATGGAACACCAGTGCTAATCTAGCACCATCCACCAGCCAGGCAGACTGACATGAAACAATACACCAAGTCATTTGCTAAGGTTAGGGTTAGAAGGAGACTTGCATGAAGAAATACACCAAGTCTTATGCTAGGGTTAGGGTTAGCACATGCTTCATTCAAAAAAAGAAGCATAGATTCCCACACAGCATTCAAATCCAATCAAAGCAGTGACATGTACAAGGTCATACATAAATTCAACTACAGTTACAATTTCAACTACAAAGGTATAATGGTTTCATAAGAAACCAAGGCTTGCCTGCATTCCAGAGGGGGCCCTCCTCCAGAAGTACAGTTGGGCCAATAAAAACCGTCCTCAATTCAACCAAGTTCCCAAAAAAGCGCACAAAAGCTGATAACAAAGATACTAAAAACACATTAGCATCAACACAACTTTGCAAAGTTCACATACCTGGGGTGCACTATTTATTCACCAGGAGTCAAAGACAAACAGCTCTAGAAAGTTTATGTCAGTACAACATAGATTATACAGAAGTTGAATACTCACTACACCAAAGCCTGACCAACTAGCTACTACCAATATATACCAACACATACCACACAAAAAAACGTCATAGGCTGACCCACACAGGTGGGTACAGACCAAATAAAACATCATAAGCTGACCTACAATGTAGGTACAGACTAGCCCCCAGATCCCATATGAGCTGGCCTACAATGTAGGCACAGACTATTCCCCCAGACCCAACATATTACCCAACAACCAAAAATTGCACTGGCCAAGCACAATCTAAGGTCAAGGGCAGCCCCTCCCTACATCCTGTAGCTGCAGACTACAGTCAATAGTGAGGCACCAAGGATGCTGCAAAGTAATGGTAATCAAGTAATGTGAAAATTCTGGGATCAGAGGTGCCACTTACCTTATGACAGCTGAGATGATGGGCTGAGATAAAAACAAAGATGATGTAGCACACAAAATGGGAGAGAGAGAGGGGGAAAGGGAGATGGAGATGGAGGGAGAGGGAGGACGATGGAGGGGAAGTGTCCCATCGCAGGGAAACACAGTAAGGGAAAAAACATACCACTGACTGGGGGGGATTTATATACTTGAGTCTTATGTACTGTTGTTTGGCCACAGTCCAACTAGCGAGGTCACCATCAATGTCACATTCTCGGCCTCAGCATGTGTTCAGTTGCCATGAGTGCCAGCAACTTCCTCTGAGTCAGTACTGCGTGTTGTACTATACATCACGAATAGCAATGTCACGTGACTCCACTGTCACCGGATTTGGCTTCTATATACTAAATACTAAATGTTCGCTTGACATTCTCATAATTGCATTGTCAAGCCGAGCAAGCACTCCCTCATGCTGTTGGCTGAGTGGTAGTGGTGGCTTACCCTTGGGATTTCACAGAAAATGTATTGTAGTAGCACTACTGGATCATTTAATACATGTAGTCACTTATTGAAACCAGAAATCGGCCTAGCGGCAACTGACCACTCCATATATAGTCCTACATAATGTTCCAGAGATGCATCCAAAGTATGGGTAGACACGTTGTGAGTCAAAGTGAGGTTCAGTGGTGAAAACCAACCAAAACCAACACAAAAGACAATGAAAGCAAGTGGTGGTGTGCCTATGCGGTACCTAGATGGTAGAACCTGTTCTTTGGGAGGGTTTTTGTGAGCTACAACACTCAAAGATGAGTGCTGAGGGTTGGGGGTGCTCCTGACGAAGAGGGAGCAAGAATGTGATAGAAAGCAATAGGGTAGACTGCTGTCAGCCTACAGAAGGATGGATGGTGACTTAATTCAATGTCCTAAGCTGTACTGAGCTCAGGGAGAGCTTGGAGCGAAGTATATGGATGATAGATGATGATAAGTGAAGTAGATGATAGCTAGACCCTTAATAAAGTCTCAACTATTGAAGCTGATGAATGATGTTCTGAGAGATGATAAATTGCAAGCAAGAGGGGCTCTCTGATGTCTTCTTTTTTTTTTTGCTACCTAAGTACAGTGACTTATATACAGTACAGGGGCATTGCCTATGGAAAACAAGGTGAAAACACTTGGTAAGTGATTGGTAACTGATGAGTAAGGAATGTAAGCGATGGGTAATTGTCTTGGAAAGCATTGGTAAGCATTGGTAAGGATAAGTAAGCCAAAAAGCAAAGAATCAGTAAGCAAAGTCAAAAGATTGGTAAGTATTGGCAATAGGTGAGTCAAAGACAGTCAGAATGTCACAGTATGAGTCAAGCAATGTCAGGAACTGGGAAAGTGCACTGGAATCACATCAGGGGGAGGCTGTGCATGTCACATCTCAAAGAGATCACTTCCAGGCCAAAGTGGGATGACAGAGAGGCAGCGCTGATCTGATGCCGATATAGTACATCCAAAAGCAGACAGGGTGAGTCAGATGTCAACAGGGGTCAAGCTTTGGGGGTCTGTGGGGTGACAGGAGCATAGGGGATTGCAACTTTCCCCCCCAAACCATCCTCTCAGTGAAGCAAATAAAAACTTCATGAATGAGGCTCTGTTGGAAGAGAGGATGAAGGGGGAGCATCTTCTGCTGTATCTTGCAACAAGGAGGCAAGATGTGCATCATACTCATCATGGATGTGATCAGGGAGAGTGGAGAACAGTAGATTATACTGTAGCTGTCGCAATTTTGGAAGAATGACAGATGAGACTGGTATGAAGACGTTGCAGGGGGCAGGGAGGAAGGATCCATATGCTTCTTGGACTGGAGAGACTGAAACGACCACATAAGACCTTTCCAAGTGAATGACAGACCTGAGGCGACCAAAGAACATCCTCCTGGAGGTCATACTGACAAAAAGAACACACTGTCCAAGCTGGATGGGCTGAGAGGGGGCAGATGAGGGTGGGATGTACCAGGATGCTTCAGGACAGAAGCTGGTAGGAACTCCTGGTAGATATATGTAGCCATGGTCCCTAGCAAAGGGGACAAGTGAAATGACTGATGTGGAGGCAGCCATATCAGAAGAATTAGTGAAATGAGCATCTTTTGGAGGGAGTGCTGTAGAAACGTGTGGAGTGCACAAATCCTTTCCAATCTTGGAAGGTAGGATCGTGTGGCTGAGCACTACAAGCGAGTGTGGGAATGGTTTCGGTGTCTGCAGAATTGGTGGAGATACACTGAAAACTGGAATGCCATACACGGGCGCTTAAGAATTTTATTGGCACTTAACTTGCCTCCTCCTTTTTCTTTGGCATTGACAACTTGTTCTTGTGCGAGGGATGACTGCCGACATTGCTGGCTGTCCTTCTTTGCATGAGGGCTATGGTCTTCACCTCCATTCATCAGCTACATCCATGTCCACCTCACCAAACACCTTTGGTGTGTGACAACATGTGATAATCATGACAGCCATGACATTGTTCATGTCACAATTAAGGTTGTGTCCAAGATTATCATAGGTCTCACTACATGACCTGTCCAAAATCAAGATCTGTGCATCCAAGTATCTGGATTGACACGGTCTTTTGCTCCTCTCCTCTTGCCACACAGTGTCTCCCTCACTGACTGTCATTGCATTATCCCACTCTCTGGCCCCTGCTGTGTCTCAGCGAAATTTTTGGTACATCATCAGTCCTCTGGATCTCTTCGCACCTCTCCCTCTCTAAACACAAAATAGGTACATCATGCTGCCATCTCCCTTCAAAAAAAAAACAAAAAAGGTATGTTGTCGAACCTCTCATGGCTTCAACACTCACATCACACACCAGGACTGCTGCCATTCTTCTCAGTCTATTGCACATTGTTCAGTGTCCCATACTACTCACAAAGCCCATTCATTCAAAAAGAAGGTAAGTAGCTCGCAGTGTCCCTCTACAACTCACAAAACACCCCCCCCCTCTCATCAGGTCTCATCCAAAAAACAGGTATGTCATCCCAGTGCGCAGCATCTCTCTACCACTCACAGAACACCCTCTCGCCTTGTCTCATCCACAAAACAGGTATGTCGTCCTACTTCCCGGTGTCCCTCTACCACTCACAAAACACCCCCTTGCCATGCTTATCCAAAAAAAAGGTATGTCATCCCAACTTCGCAGCGTCCCTCTACAACTCACAGAACACCCCCTCACCATGCCTTATCAAAAAAACAAAAGGTAAGTCGTCCCAGGTTGCGGCGTCCCTCTACCACTCACAGAACACCCCCTCACCATGCTCATCCAAAAAAAAGGTATGTCATCCCAGCTTCGTGGTGTCCCTCTACAACTCACAGAACACCCCCTCGCCATGCCTTATCCAAAAAAAAGGTAAGTCATCCCAGGTCATGGCATCCCTCTACCACTCACAGAACACCTCCTTGCCATGCCTCATCCAAAAAAAGGTATGTCATCCCAGCTCACGGCATCCCTCTACCACTCACAAAACACCCACAGAACACCCCCTCGCCGTGCCTTATCAAAAAACAAAAGGTAAGTCGTCCCAGGTCGCAGTGTCCCTCTACCACTCACAGAACACCCCCTCACCATGCTCATCCAAAAAAAAAGGTATGTTGTCCCAGCTTCGCAGCATCCCTCTACAACTCACAGA